AAGGAGAGACCACCGCCTCTTTTAAACCCTCTGGAAAGACTCCTTGCTCAAGGGAGCTGTTTATGATCTTTATGATAATGGGAATGGCTATATGACTGTATAATTAATGTATTGTCAAAGGCTTTCACCTAGCTCCAACAGACAAGCATCCTTTGTCCCACCCTGGTCATTCCACAGATATATAAACCCAATTTTCCTAGTTCCAACAGACCTCACTATTTCTGAGGGTGCTTGCCATAGATGCAGGCGAAACATCAGGAGAGAATGCCTTTAGAACATGGCTATAGAGCCCAAAAACACCTACAACAACCCACTGTATAATTAATGTGATTGTTTTTAATCTATTGTGTATTTATGGTTTTATATTGTGATTATATTGTGATATTGCGGCATCGAATTGCTGCCAGTGTTAGCCGTTCTGAGTCCCCGTCCCCCCTCGGGAGTTGAGAAGGGAGGGGTAGAAATTGTGTAAATAATTAAATAAATAAACAGACTGTAAGCACTTAGAAAGCAATGCCATGCCCACAAAAAGTCAACATGGGCTTCTCAAAAACAAGTCCTACCACACTTAACTCTTTCTCATAGTATTACAAGCTTGGTAGATGCAGAGAATGTGGTGGGTGTCGCACGTCTCGGTTTCAGGGATATAGGGATCTAATTAAACCACAAGCTGACTGGATGGCACACCAGGTCTCTTCCAACTCTAGGATTCTATCATGAATTCATAAACACGAAGAAGTGAGTCCAGAAAGGAAAAAAGGAAAGAAGGGTGGGGACCTTCACCCAAGATTAGAAAGACACATTGATTTTATTGGGTCAACCCCAAATGTGGCTAAAGGGACCAAAGGCAGGCTGACCTTTCTCAGAAAAATGGGATGGGTGACACCTGGCTTGACAGTCGTCCAATCTTCTTGAAGATTGGGACCACATTGGCCCTCCTCCAATCTGCTGGAACTTCTCCCGTTCTCCAAGAACTCTCAAAGATGGTTGCCAATGGTTCTGAGATGACTTCCGCTAGTTCCTTCAATACTCTGGGGTGTAGTTGATCTGGCCCTGAAAGGGGACTTGAACTCATTCAGAGCGGCCAGGGATTCCTGGACGACTTCTTTCCCAATTTGGGGTTGGATGTCCTCCAATCCCTCATCCACTCCATCTTGCTGAGGTTGAAGACTCTCTTTTTGTGAGAAGACCGAGGCAAAGAAGGCATTAAGTAGTTCTGCCTTTTCCCTATCATCCCCTGTCAGCATTGCCCCATCTTCGCAGAGGCCCGATCGCCTCCTTGTTCTTCCTTTTTCTACTGACGTAAGAAAATAAGCCCTTTTTATTGTTTTTTAATGTCCCTGGCAAGCCTGTGCTCATTTTGTGCTTTACTTTGCGAACCTTTTTCCTACAAGAGTTGGCTATTTGTTTGAATTCTTCTTTGGTGATGTGTCCCTTTTTCCACTTCTTGTGCATGTCTCTTTTGAGTCTTAGCACAGTTAGAAGTTCTTTGGACATCCATTCTGGCTTCTTTGCACTTGTCCTATTTTTTATCCTTGTTGGCCCTGTTTGCAATTGTGCCTTGAGTATTTCACTCTTGAAAAACTCCCATCCATCCGTAACTCCCTTGTCTTTTAGTATCTGTGTCCATTGAATGCTGCTCAGTATTTCCTTCATTTTTTTGGAAGTCAGCTCTTCTAAAGTCCAGAATGCGGGTTTGACTTGTCTTAGTTTTGGCCTTCCTTTGTACCATCTGTGTTGGTTTCTGTGTATGTGTTTGAACCCCTTCACATCTACATTTACGGTATTTCCATTTTCAACATGAAACTAAAAGAAAAAGGAGAATTCTTTAAGGTAAAGCAGGTTTTTCATCTTAATCCCTATTTATTTATTTCTTCTTTCTTGATCAGGGAAATGAAGATTGTATGGAGCCACCACCAGTGTGTTAAGAAACAAGCCAGTATCTAGTAGATATTGGGGAATTTAGAAGTAAGGAAGAAGAAACTCTCTTTCAAGAGGCTGGTTTTGCTGAACTCTTAACTTGAGCCACGTTTCAGAAAGAATAAAAGTGTCCATATTGCAGCAGAACATTCCTATTGACATGGGGGAGAAAGCGTATAAATGTACCGAGTGTGGAAGGAGATTTAGTCAGCACAAACATCTGCAGTCACATCAAAGGACCCACACTGGGGAGAAACCCTATAAATGCCTGGAGTGTGGAAAGAGCTTCACTCAGAATGGAAGTCTAAACAAACATCAAAGAACCCACACTGGAGAGAAACCTTATACCTGCTTGGAGTGTGGCAAGAGCTTCACCCACAGTGGAAATTTACATTCACATCAAAGAATTCACACTGGGGAGAAACCCTATACTTGCCTGGAGTGTGGAAAGAGCTTCAGCCAGAGTAGAAATCTACATTCTCATAATAGAACCCACACTGGGGAGAAGCCTTACACGTGTGGGAAGTGTGGAAAGAGTTTCACTGACAGTAGAACACTTCATAAACATCATAGAACTCACACTGGGGAGAAACCCTATGCATGCCTGGAGTGTGGAAAGAGCTTCGCTCAAACAGCACATCTGCATTTACATCAGAGAACCCACACAGGAGAAAAACCGTTCTCATGTCTGGAGTGCGGAAAGAGCTTCAGTCACAGTGGAACTCTATATAAACATCAGAGAATCCACACTGGGGAGAAACCCTATACTTGCCTGGAGTGTGGAAAGAGCTTCACTCACAGCGCAACCCTGCATAAACATCAAAGGACCCACACTGGGGAGAAGCCTTACACATGTGTGGAATGTGGAAAGAGCTACACTGACCTTGGAACTCTTCATAAACATCAGAGGACCCACACTGGGGAGAAACCCTATGTTTGCCGGGAGTGTGGAAAGGGCTTCACGGAGAGTGGAACCCTACAGAAACATCAAAGAACTCACACTGGAGAGAAACCTTATACATGCTTGGAATGTGGAAAGAACTTTAGTGAGAGTGGAAGTCTACAGAAACATCAAAGAATCCACACAGGAGAGAAACCATATACATGCCTGGAATGTGGAAAGAGCTTCACTGAGAGTGGGAGTCTACATTCACATCAAAGAATTCACACTGGGGAGAAACCCTATAAGTGTCCGGAGTGTGGAAAGAGCTTCATGCGGAGGGGAAGTCTACGTCTGCATCAAAGGACTCACACTGGAGAGAAACCTTATACATGTCCGGAGTGTGGGAAAAGCTTCACTGAGAGTGGAAATTTACATTCACATCAAAAAACTCACACTGGGGAGAAACCCTATAAATGTATGGAATGTGGAAAGAGCTTCCCCCACAGTGGAAATCTACATAAACATCAGAGGACCCACACTGGGGAGAAACCCTACAAGTGCATGGAGTGTGGAAAGAGTTTCACTGAGAGTGGAAATCTGCTCTCTCATCACAGAACCCACACTGGAGAGAAACCCTATCAGTGCCTGGAGTGTGGAAAGAGCTTTGCTCGGAGTGGAAGGCTATTTTCACATCAAAGAACCCACACGGGGAGAATGCTGGTACTTGGCACCAGAGAGATTCTCTTAAGATGTACAGAGAAACTCTAGAAATGTAAATGAGAGCACACACAATGTTTGGATGTGTGAGCAACGGTTTAAAAATGATATTAATATTACAAAAGTAAAATATAAATGTTTTAAAATACCTGAATTTTCTTGAAAGTGTTTCTCCCTGAATATTGTTTTTTCCCTTTGATACAAAAGTCCTGGGGGGAGGGGAGGCAGAGTTGCAATAGTCTATAAAGATTCCATCTCCTTGGTCAGGGGCCCGGCCTTACAGTCGACCTTGTTTGAATGTGTCCACCTGAGGCTAGGGGACCGGGACAGAATAGGGCTGTTGTTGGTGTACCGACCACCCCGCTGCACCTCAACCGCCCTACCTGAGCTTGCAGAGTTGGTCTCGGGCCTGGCATTGGAGTCCCAGCGGCTTATAGTGCTGGGGGACTTCAATGTCCACGCTGAGGCCGCTCTTTCAGGAGCAGCTCAGGACTTCATGGCCACCATGGCAACTATGGGGCTGTCCCAGCTAGTATCTGGCCCTACCCACTGTGCTGGACACACACTTGACTTGGTCTTCTGTCAGGGCTGGGAAGAAGGTGGCGGTGTGGAGGAGCTGTCAATCTCTCCTTTGCCGTGGACCGACCACCACCTGAAATGCAAAGAGACAGAATGGGGGACAATGCCTGGCTCGAGAGCAGTACGTGTGAAAAAGATCATGGAGTCCTCGTGGACAACAAGTTAACTGAGAGTGGAAATTTACATTCACATCAAAAAACTCACACTGGGGAGAAACCCTATAAATGTATGGAATGTGGAAAGAGCTTCCCCCACAGTGGAAATCTACATAAACATCAGAGGACCCACACTGGGGAGAAACCCTACAAATGCCTGGCTCGAGAGCAGTACATGTGACAAAGATCTTGGACAACAAGTTAAACATGAGCCAACAATGTGATGTGGCGGCAAAAAAAGCCAATGGGATTTGGCCTGCATCAATAGGAGCATAGTGTCTAGATCTAGGGAAGTAATGCTACCCCTCTATTCTGCTTTGGTTAGACCACACCTGGAATATTGTGTCCAATTCTGGGCACCACAATTCAAGAGAGATATTGAGAAGCTGGAATGTGTCCAGAGGAGAGCGACTAAAATGATCAAGGGTCTGGAGAACAAGCCCTATGAGGAGCGGCTTAGGGAACTGGGCATGTTTAGCCTGAAGAAGAGAAGGCTGAGAGGAGATATGATAGCCATGCATAAATATGTGAGAGGAAGCCACAGGGAGGAGGGAGCAAGCTTGTTTTCTGCTTCCTTGGAGACTAGGACGCGGAACAATGGCTTCAAACTACAAGAGAGGAGATTCCATCTGAACATGAGGAAGAACTTCCTGACTGTGAGAGCCGTTCAGCAGTGGAACTCTCTGCCCCGAGTGTGGGAGGCTCCTTCTTTGGAAGCTTTTAAGCAGAGGCTGGATGGCCATCTGTCAGGGGTGATTTGAATGCAATATTCCTGCTTCTTGGCAGAATGGGGTTGGACTGGATGGCCCAGGAGGTCTCTTCCAACTCTTTGATTCTATGATTCTATGATTCTATGATCAGGTTTAGACTTGCTGCAACTTCTAACCTCCGCAGGGGTGGTGGACCCATTAAGATGGTCTGCCCCAGGAGGCTTATGGATCCAGAGGGACTCTTGACAGCTCTTGGGGAGTTTTCCGTCGCCTCGGTTGGTGATTCTGTCGATGCTCTGGTCTGTCATTGGAATAATGAGTTGACTAGGGCAATAGACACGATTGCTCCGGAGCGCCCCCTCTTAAGTCGCCGAACTAAACCATCTCCTTGGTTTAACGAGGAGTTGGTGGAGATGAAGCGAACAAAGAGGTGGCTAGAGATCTTGTGGTAGAAAGATCCTAGCGAGTCAAACCGAACACGCCTGCGCATTTATCAAAGGGCGTATGGCATGGCAATAGAGGCCGCACAAAACTCCTTCTACTTGGCCAATATTGCGTCCACAAGGAACCATCCGGCTCAGCTGTTTCGAGTAGTCAGAGGGCTGTTGAATCCCACCTCTCAGGATGGGTCCCCTGACGACTCGGCAGCTCGCTGTGAAGCCTTTGCTTAGTACTTTGCGGACAAAGTCGCTTTGATCTGTTCGGGCTTTGACACCACGTTAACGGCAGTCTCTGGGGATGTAACACAAGCATCTGATTGTCCAGTTTTGATGGATTCGTTTCGATCTGTTCAACTCGAGGATGTCATCGGGATTCTTGAGGAGGCGAGGCCGACCACATGCATCCTAGACCCCTGCCCTTCCTGGCTGGTGAAAGAAGCCAGAGGGGGTTTAGCAGAGCGGGTAAAGGTGGTGGTTAATGCCTCCCTTCGGGAAGGCAACATTCCAGCCAGCTTAAAACAAGCTGTTATAAAACCGCTGTTGAAAAAATCATCACTGAACCCCACTCCATTTGTCAAATTTTGGCCAGTTTCCAATCTCCCCTATTTGGGCAAAGTCCTGGAATGTGTGGTGGCCTTACAACTCCAGGAGTTCCTGGTAGACACGGATTATCTAGATCTGGCACAGTCTGGCTTTAGGCCAGGACATGGTACGGAGACAGCCTTGGTCGCCTTAGTGGATGATCTTCGCCAGGAACTGGACAGGGGAAGTGTGTCCCTGCTGGTTCTGCTGGACCTCTCATCGGCCTTCGATACCGTCAACCACAGTATCCTTCTGGGACGCCTCGCGGGAATGGGTCTTGGGGGTACTGCTTTGCAGTGGCTCCAGTCCTTTCTCGTGGAGCGATCCCAGAAGGTGTTTCTAGGGGACTCCTGCTCGACCCCACAGCCATTGTACTGTGGAGTCCCGCAGGGCTCAATACTGTCCCCTATGTTATTTAACATTTACATGAAGCCGTTGGGAGAGATCATCCGGAGTTTCGGGGTGCGGTGTCATCTGTACGCAGATGATGTCCAACTCTGTTACTCCTTCCCACCTACTACTAAGGAGGCTGTTCAAGTCCTGAACCGGTGCTTGGCCACTGTGACAGTCTGGATGGGGGCGAACAAATTGAAATTAAATCCAGACAAGACAGAGGTACTCCTGGTCAGTCGCAAGGCCGAACAGGGCATAGGGTTACAGCCTGTGCTGGACGGGTCGCACTCCCCTTGAAGGCACAGGTTCGCAGCTTGGGTGTGATCCTGGATTCATCGTTGAGCCTGGATCCCCAGGTTTCAGCGGTGACCAGGGGAGCTTTTGCACAGCTTAGGCTCCAGCTGCGCGCGTACCTTGGGAAGTCTGACTTGGCCACGGTGGTCTACGCTTTGGTTACATCCCGTTTAGATTACTGCAATGCTCTCTACGTGGGGTTGCCTCTGAAGACTGCCCGGAAGCTTCAATTAGTCCAACGTGCGGCAGCCAGACTACTAATGGGAGCGGGGTACAGGGAGCATACTACTCCTCTGTTGCGCCAGCTCCACTGGCTGCCAGTCAGCTTCCGAGCACAATTCAAAGTGCTGGTCTTAACCTATAAAGCCCTAAACGACTCCGGCCCAATTTACCTGTCCGAACGTATCCTCCCCTATGAGCCATCAAGATTACTAAGATCGTCTGGAGGGGCCCTGCTCTCGATCCCACCGGCCTCACAGGCGCGGCTGGTGGGGACGAGAGACAGGGCCTTCTCGGTGGTGGCCCCTCGACTCTGGAACTCCCTTCCACTGGAGATCAGAACTGCCCCTTCGATCTTAACGTTCAGGAAACAGGTGAAAACCTGGCTTTGGGGATTGGCATTCAACGAATGAGCCATGATCCTGTGATATGGATGGATGACGACGAATAATGACTTTGATGACGACTGACCACTGTAATCATATGATTGTATTTTTGCCATTTTAATTGTTTCAATGTTTTAATGTTTTAGTGTGATTTAGAAATATGATGTTTTAATGACGGTCTGTAATATTGATGTTGGAAACCGGCCCGAGTCCCTCGAATGGAGGTGAGAAGACCGGGATACAAAACTACCAAATAAATAAATAAATATTAATAATTGATTAATGTCAACAAGTTATATAAGCAATTGCGTATAAATATGTGCTCTGTTTAAATCATGGTGTGTGGAAACCCCTCGATTCACCTGCGGGCTGAGGTTTCCCACCCTTTTCCATTGGAACAGTAAAGTTTGGGACTTGGAACTCTACTCTAGCCTGGTGTCGTTCTTCTGCCCCATTTGCGTCCCAACGGACAGGCTGCTGTCTGCTGCAACAGGTGTTTTATTGTGTTTGGTGGTCTTGTGGAAAGGCCCCAAAATAATGGACTCAAATACAGATGATGCTAGAAGAAATCGGTAAGGTTACATTCACCATGAGATCATTGTTTTACTTTTTGGAAATGCTGGTTGATCAACCAGAAAGAAAGCATGGAAGAGCACGACAGGATATGAGAACTGCACCCAGACTCACTTATGCGCAGAGGTGGAAGGAACCCATTATCCCAACGCAAGAAGAATGGCTGACACAGTTCTGTAAAGTAAATGTGATTGACTGATGGTGCTGAATATGGAAAAATCTTTGATCTATTGTTGAAGGCTTTCATGGCCGGAATCACTGGGTTGTGGTAGGTTATTTCAGGCTATGTGGCCATGTTCTAGAGGCATGTTCTCCTGACGTTTCGCCTGCATCTATGGCAAGCATCCTCAGAGGTAGTGAGGTCATCTGAGGATTGTGAAGCAGGCGAAACGTCAGGAGAAAATTCCTCTAGAACATGACCACATAGCCCAAAAAACAGTTGTTGTTGGTCATTCGTTCAGTCGCTTCCGACTCTTCGTGACCTCATGGACCAGCCCGCCAGAGCTCCCTGTTGGCCGTCACCACCCCCAGCTCCTTCAAGGTCAAGCCAGTCACTTCAAGGATGCCATCCATCCATCTTGCCCTTGGTCGGCCCCTCTTCCTTTTGCCTTCCACTTTCCCCAGCATCATTGTCTTCTCTAGGCTTTGCTGTCTCCTCATGATGTGGCCAAAGTACTTCAACTTTGTCTCTAGTCTCCTTCCCTCCAGTGAGCAGTCGGGCTTTATTTCCTGGAGGATGGACTGGTTGGATCTTCTCGCAGTCCAAGGCACTCTCAGCACTTTCCTCCAACACCACAGCTCAAAAGCATCGATCTTCCTTCGC